TGCTAGTTCCAATCACAAGCATTTCTTGAGAAAGAGGTCACAAGAGACTATAGACATAAGTTGTTTGGTTTTATATTACTCCTTACATGATGATTTAAGCATTATAATTTTGGTCAAAATGACAGCATGTGCTTTGTAACAGTTTGAATGTACAAGACTTGGGTTGTGTCTTAGGAAGACAGCCTTTTAGGACTGGGAAAGGAGACAGTGTTCTGTGCTCGCTGATGCTTTATGTCATAAATTAATTTTCTTTTGAAAAGGAATTGTTTCCTCACTGCAGCAGTTTATTTTGGTGTTTTATAACCCTATTTCAGATGGCCATTTGTATGTATGGCAATAAAAAAATCTACAATAATTCATGAAAACCATCGGGTCGAGCATGAAGCCTTGCGGAACATCTCATGTAATCAATCATGCTAAAGAAATATAACCAGCAATGGAGGCTGACATTTTCCCAATTGATGGATAAGATGTTAATTAGTTCAAGGACGATAGCAGCCTCAATCTGTCAATTAGATCAGCAGAATCAACTGTGTTGATAACAGTGGTTCAGTCAGACTGCGTTAACGTTTTCAGTCTGTATTCACAGAGGATGGCTGTTAGTCCTGACAGGGGTCATTCTCATTTCATCCTTTGTGAAACTGCTGCCTTCTCTTCTTTCATTCACTTACTATAATATAGTTACATTTCAAATATTTTACCGCTGTAAGGCCCCAACCTATGGAGCATCCCCACTGCCAGTGACAGACACCCATGTCCATGTTTCAATCAGGGATCAAAAATACTTTATTGTAGATATATTTTGTGTCATCTCTTCATAGTTATAATTGAATAGCTCAGCTGTCTGTCAGGATTTTACTAGAATAATAACTAGTATCTTAGATAAGTCTCAGATTTAACTAAATGAAACAATACAGCTAAGGCACTGTGCATATGTTTCCATCACTGCTTTCCTATTCATATCCAGGCAAAGCATTCTCATACGAGTGTAGTCTGTAAATAAGGGTGGTGTGTCACGGTGGAGGTCAGCTAATCTGTCTTCCACTGTGAGGCTCGTTTCAGAAGTGGCAATAGGCAGGAAGCACACACACGCACACACACACATGCACACACAGATATCCAGCCTATCTGTATCACCGTGTGTGGGTCCACAGGGAGGAGAAGTAGGACATGCTACAGAGTCCCTGCCACCCTGCCTCTGCTTCAGGCTGCAGACATGCACACACACATGCACACAGTGAGAGTATCTACTTTCACATAAAATGCCACATTGGTTTGCATAGTTTTATCATGTTTATATTAGGAGGATTAGGAATATCAAGGACGATTCAACAGGCTTTACAGTCCATATATGTTCGGTTCTGTGTCCACAACCAGGAGAAATATACAGTACAATACAATAGTTTTAACAGCACCAGATTGGAATCACTGACTGTATAAATATGGACGACACATCACCACTTCTGTCCACTATGCAAAAGTGAAGCCAAAATATCACGAATATGACGGCTGCCATCTTGGCATTTTGCAACTAGATTCTGAGAAATTGAGACCAGACCACCAGTCAAAGTTGGGAAATCCAACGGGCCACCAGGGGGCGATCAACACGCGGTGGCTTCACTTCTGATAGCTGTCAGGTTGTCCATATTTTATACAGTCAATAACTGGAATAAATTCTGTACATGACTGTATTTTCCATTTTCTCAGCTGATTCAGTCATTGTAAAACATCTTTAATAGATGTTTAAAACACATCTTTAAGACACTGAACCCCCAAGTTTCCCCCGATGGTTAGAGCCACAGTGTGAGTTGGTGCCACAGATGGCACAGATACTTATTCTAACTATTGACATTTCATGTTACTATATTTAAATGATCTCAATTCTTTCTTATTCTGCTCTGTTTGACTGTATCACATATATGCTGTAGATTGTAGCTCTTGATGGTAGCTACCTGACATTCACACGCAAGGCTGCACATGTGTGTGACTGCACTATTCAATCAAATGGAAATGTTCCAGATATCGTGTGTATAGTTTTATACAAATTCAGCTCTGGAAACTTAGGGATCTCTTTGGTAATTCTGAATAAAGTTTGTGGTTTTGCTTTTAAATGCAGCACTGAATACTTCTTCCACCACTGCTAAAAGTGAAACTGTCTTTTTGTGGTATGAATCTGCAGTTGAGCCCTAATGATAAGTCACCTTAACATCTTTACTATCCGGGTCTATTTATCTTTTTACTGTTTGGTAAAACCTTTTTGGAAAAGCAATATACTTTTTTGTGAAAACGTATTTCCCATTCTGCAGACCTTGTTTTGGATTCAGGTGTGGCTTCTCCAGGGGTATCTGTCGGCCGTCCAATGACTCAGAGCCCATCAGTTTCCACAGAGCATATTTAACGTATGACACTTTGTGGGCCCTTCCATCTAAAGTGGTTTACAGTAGCAGTAGTGCATACATCTTGAGTATAGGTGGCCCCAGTGGGAACTGAAGCTCATATCCGGACAGTATTGAGGCTGATATATGCTCAACCCGCCAAGCTACACAGAAAATGAAATCCCTAACCTTGGCAGCTTTAGTGCTAGGCTCTAGTCATTGAGCTCCATGGGAAATTGAGTTTGTAACCCTGGCAGCTCTACCCAGAGGGCTGCAAAACTGCAGAGTTTCAAAGGATAGATCACGGTGTTGTTTTCTTTTGGCTCTGTATAGGTCAGCAGGGTCATGTGGGCTAAAAATATATATTCAGTTGTGTTGTTATCAAGCATTCGAAATAAAACTGTCCACCAACTTGCAAATGGAGATAAAGGACAGTTATTTCATAAAATATAACAGTACATCTCCATCCATTACGCTGGCAGACGTATCACACAGCAACATTTCCCATGTTTCAAGAATGAATAACAGTTTTATAAATGATTTGAAATCCACATTTGTTTTATATTTATAAAAGCTGAATCACCTTGTTCGGAGTATAAATTAATATTCATACAAGTCAATAACAACTTGACATTTAAAGTCTTGCTTTAAAATTCAAGCATTATATTTGGGAAGAAACTGACAAAATAATTTGAATTGAAGATCCACTTGCAGGTGTAGCTCTGAGACGTGGTTTTGGCAACAGTCATTTTATAAAACTGTCATGGTTGAGGCTACACCATCTGGTGTTTTATGTATATATCAAATAAAACTGTGGTGTTTATTTTTGCATTAATTAAGTACAGATGTCTCATGTGTGCTCTGTTTTTTTTCGTTTTGTTTTTTTGTTAATAAATGAAGTTTTTAGTATGTGGGCACTCTTTTTTGAAATTCTGCTCTGCTGGTTTTGTTGTTTGGCTTTGAGAAATGTTGCATTATTCATTATTCATGCTGACTGCTTATCTCAGCCAATGTACTCTACGTTGTTACAAAATACAGCACTGTGGACTTGCTCTGAGGTGTGTGTTCAAACTCTCCTGCATGGTCAGTGGTTGACAAATACTTAGCAAACCCTGAATGTAGATTTTACTGAAAGCATTCATGTCAGTGTGTCGTTTATCTTGTTCAGCTTCTCCTGGAGCATTTTGAAGGGAGAAATCAAGAAAGCAGTGGAGAGAGGTCTCTGGGTCATTGGTAAAGTGAAAAATGATCTGCTTACATCCATGCTAACATTGCCTGATAAGATTGGGGCGGATTGGACAGAGCTTCCAAGATGTAGGGCAGGGCCACTCAGGAGATAACGTCAGCGCAGACATCTGCACTTCTTCTAGATTATTTTCTAACAGGTGTGTGGGTGTGAGTGTGTTTTGTTCATTTTTTAGTTGGGGGGGGCAGAGGAGCTCCTGTAATCCAAGTCACTGTAGCAATGATTTTGTTTTTGAAACTGCATCCTCTTCCTCAGCTGCACTTTAATTAAACAGTTTGTTTGTTTCGGTAAAATCAAATGCTCATTTTTGGGACAAAACTCATTTATTACTTCCAAAGCGCTGTGTCACAAATTGCCTAAATTAAGTCACATAGCCATAGCAAACAAAAATAGAGAAAAATAAAATGTTATATGAACAACAGAATAAAATGATTTCAACCTAAGGGTCTTAACTTTTGAATTGCACCACATTGCACTAAATTGGTCCATTTTGCTTGTGTTAGATGTTTGTTTGAACAGCAGATGCCCAGCAGCGACACTCTACCCCTGTACATGCTCGGCTACAAAACATAACGGTGGTTTCCATGTCAAAATGCTGTTTGGGGAACCAAAATGACCTCCAACATCGTTGCTCTGATATGTTTTACACAGCAGAATGGACACAAGCTCTCATTTGTGAACTGCTGTTCAGCTTTTTGTACGTGTTTGCTTGGATGTGTTTGTGTATGCCTGTGTCTTCTGGGGGCCCAACTTGAGTTTTAGGCTTTGAGAGTGGGACCAATAGTCAAATAACTCACTGAAATTTCCTTCTTGGCAGTCGATTGTCTTGGTGTGTAATGTGGGCACTGATTTTGTTACTCTTTTTATTTTTTTAACTGATCACCATGACTCTGACAAAAGTGAAGGCTAAATCGGTGGAATACTCTCTTAAGTATCACCTTTCTCTGTAAATTAAATGCTTATGTTAATTATGGTTGG